ATAAGAGTTATTACTAAAATAGACTATCTTATATAATATATATACTAAAGATACTATATCTATTAATATTAACTTATATATATTATCTAAGCAAAAGCTATAAGAATAAGTAAAATAAGTATCTAAACTATTAGAAAAAGATCTAATTTAACTATCTATAAGTACTTAGGGATTCCCTATAATATTTATTATAAAACTAAATAATAACTAGAGGATATATATAGATTATTATATATTAAATAGACTAATGTCAAAAAATAGTTATCCACTATTGTAAATTTAAGATCTACTTAATTATATAGGTACTACTAAGATTATATCTAAGATAGATTTAATATCTAGGTACTAGTAGGTTTAAATAGGAGTATAGTTAATTAAAAAGACTACTTTTAATATAATATAAGGAAAATATAAGTAGATTATAATACTATTTAGGCTATATAATATACCTACTACTTTCTAATCTATTATAAATAATATATTAAGATCTTTTCTTAGCTAATTTATTATAGTTTATTTAGATAATATCCTTATCTTCTCAAAAACTATAGAAAAATATTATAAGTATCTTAAAAAAGTATTAGCTATACTAAGAGAATATTAGCTATATACTATATTAGGAAAATATAAGATTACTACTAAATATATTAAGTTCTATAGATTCTATATTAAAGGAGAATAAGTCTTAGTAATACTAATAAAGATTAATATAATTATATTGTAGTTAAGGCCTATAAATATACACAAAGTCCAATAATTCTTAGGACTTATAATATATTACTAATAGTTTATTAAGGATTTTACTAGAATCTATATACCTCTATATAAATTATTAAAGAAGCCTAATAAATAGCTCTAAAAAGATAAGCTTTATCTAATTTCGTGGTTAATAGTATATAAAAGGGCTTTTAGACAATTAAAGTACCTTATTACTACTACTTCTATATTAATCTAACCTAATCTAATAAAACCGTTTATAATTAAGACTAATATATCTAAATAGACTATTAGAATAGTCCTAAACTAAGTAAATAAGAATAAAAAACTCTATCCTATAACCTTTAATAATTATAAGCTTTCTGGCGCAGAATTGAATTACCCTATATATAAAAAGGAGTTATTAGCTATTAAAAAGACCTTATATCTATAGGATTATTATCTAGAAAACAATACGAAAACAACTATTATAACTGATTACTAAGGTTTATAATATTTATAAATATTACTAACCTATAGTAAGTAGCTTACTCACTAGGTTATAAAGTATTAAAAGTATAATCTAAAGATTTAGTATTAGAAAGATAAAGAGACAATTATTCCTAATACTATTAGCAAAAGGCCAGATTTTATTAGTAAAGGCCCTACAAACATATTATTCCCTCCGATTTAGAACACTACTCTTACCACAATCTCGACTATAGCAGAACAGACAGTTATAAATGTCCTAGAAAAAGATTAGCTAACAACTATAGAAGAGTATTTAGATTTAAGAATACTCCTTACCAATAAGAAGCTTATAAGAGCTATAGAAAAGTTTGCTCCGAACTTATTATATTATAATATAAAGTTACCGATAAAGTCTATAAATATAGTTTATTGTTAGTTAATCTTTATCTATAAAGATAAGGTTTATACATCCTATTTAGAACCTCTCTTTTGTAAAGAACTATTACTATACCTCTATAAGAAGTTTAGTTATTTAGGATACCTAGGTCTAAATAGAGTTATTTACTTATAAGTATAGTAGTCTAATATAAAAAGAGATATAGAAGATATTATAAGATTGTACTCTAAATACTAAGTCAGCCAGAATCCTTAAAAAAGATTAAAACAAGAGATAGCTTAACATATAGTAGAGAATAATATCTATCTATTTAAATAATAGGGTATTAACCTAATTAGATACCTTCCTTACATATCTAATAGCAATCACTAGATTATCACTATAATTAATTATACTACTAGCTAGGTTATCGCACAAGCCGTTCCGGAAGCTACAGAAGAAGCTTTAGATTAATTTATATATAATTAGATCTTTATAAATTATAGTACACTAAGAGAAATAGTTACTAACAATAGCCAGAATCTATTAGCTAAGGTAGTAAGATACTATATCTAGCTTCTTAATACCTAATATTAAATAACTACTCTATATTATCTATATACAAATAAAAAGATAAAAAACTTTAATAGATTATTAGACCAAATACTAATAAAATATTTAATAAACAAACTAACGAAATTATAGGATCTTTATCTAACACAGACTATTTTTGCTATATATATATATAAATATAGTATAATAGGGTTTAGCCTATTTTATTTAGTATATAGCAAATAACTATAAATACCTAGTAATAATAATAATATAATAGTAGTATAACCTTTTACAGAAAGATTAGATATATTATAGAACTTAAATAATATATAAACAAAGATAAACAAATTATTACTAAATTATATAATTAAGAAGGGTTATATCTATAATAGTAAAGTTATAAAAACTAGCTTCTAGAAGAATAACTAGATATTAATATATAATAAAAGTAGAAAGAAATTTAAAAATAAGTAGTTTAGACTATATTATATTCTAGTAGTCTATATCCTTAGAATATATATTTTAGTAGAGCTATCTAGCTATATACTCTAAAATCTTATAAATAAATTAAGATTTCTAGAAGTAAGAGTAGATAATCTAAAATTACTATAGATATTATAAGCTACTTAAACTATAATACAATAAGCTAGTTTAAACCTAAAGAGATCTAAAGAAATCTAGAAGATCCTAAAAAATAATACTCTACTACTAACTTACTTAGACCTATTAACTTTTATTTATAAAGAGTAGGAAGAGTTCTATTATAATAGTATATAATAAAGTTTAGTAAAGGAGGATACAATTATAAAATATATTATTAAGAAAGTATATAGATATATAGTAAAACACTAATATATATAAGGAGATCTAAAATAGAAGGATCTTAAAGAGTTATAAGAAGAGTTAAGTTTAGACTTAAGTAATAATAATAGAGCTAGATATACCTCTAAAAATAAAGATATAGATATAGAAGGAGATATTCTTCTAAAAAGAAGTATTCTATATACTATAATAATATATAAAAGGATACTAATAAAAGATAGCCCCTTTACTATTATAATCCTAAAGGCTAAGTTATAAAATCTATAAAAAAAGAAGAAGATAAAGTAAAGATTTATATTAGATATATAAGGCTTATTAAGTACTAGCTAAAAATATAAAAGAAAATACAATTAAATCAAACACAGAAAAATACTAAGAATCATCCCTAAAAAAAGGTTATAAATATCATAAAATAACATAAAATAGCATAAAATAGTATAGATTATACTAAGGTACCCTTATAGGGCTAACTATAGTAAACAAGTTATTTACTAATAGTCTTTTTTAAAGGAGTTACTAGAGATCTAGGTAATATACTAAATAAAAGTTTATTATTAAAGGTATTATAGATAGAAAGTTTAGGCTTATTATAAATAATATCTCTAAACTCTTTAAGTTCTTTCTTAAGAATAGACTTCTTCTTATAATAATTATCCCTTTTTATAGATAGAATAACTACTTAAAATATAGCCTTAACTATATTAAGTATAAAAAGATTCCCCTTTAACTTAGCCTTACTCTTATTAAGATTAAGAATATAATATTCTATTAGAACTACTACTATCTATATATAATTATAGGCTAGTCAAAACTCTATAAGAGAAAACTAATTATACACTACTAATATTAGCTTAAACTTACTAGTTTTAATATAATAATAGATATTATAATCATCTAGTAGAGAAAAATACTAGTCTATTAGATAGACTAGCCTACTAGAACACTTAATATTAATAGTATAAGTAAATCCTTTTAGACTAGGAGAGGAAGAAGAAGCTATAAGAAAAGGAGATTAGATCTTCTAAGTCCTTCTTATAAAAGATAGGACTAACTTAGTATAAATAGGAGTCTCTAGAGTAAAAGAAGTAGGAACAGTTATATATAGCTTCTTAAAAATAAGAGATATAGTCTCTCTAGAAGAAGATATAGAAGTAGTAAAACAATATTTCTATAGTATAACAATAGAAGAAGATACTTCCTTATCCCCTATATTATTATTTTCCACAACAGGATCCTTAACTAGATATTATAAGATATAATAATAGAAGATTAGATAAGTAGCTTATATAAAGTAAATAAGGTTCTTAGAAGAATATTATTAGAAAGAGTATCTACTTATAGTATTCCTATATATATACAAAGTATAAGAGCCGCTAAATATAATATCTTTACTATTAAGAACTACAACTATATATAAAAGAAAAGGCCTATAACCTATTAAATAATATATATATAACAAAAAGATAGCCATCCTGATTTATTAAGTAATATATATATATCTTTATCCTTTTAAATTAACTTTAATATTATTAATATTACACTAATCCATATTATATATAATTAGTACAGCAATAAGTATAAGATCAGAAGTAGATTAGAAGTCAAGAAGAAAGGTATTGCTAAATATATTAATACCTTTACTATATATAACAACTTTTATAAATTAAGATCTAACACTAAAGTTCTAGGGTACAATCATATTTATATCAAGAGGTAGAACGTTCAATATTTCTATAAGAAACAAGATATTAGCTTATATTTAGCTTAAGTAATACTATAAGAATCTAGAATTATACTTATTGGAAAAGAAGAGATACAATAAGATGTTTAGAAAGAGAAGTATAGGAGAAAAAGTATATAAAGGAAGAGAGAGTGTGATATAACAACACGCGAGAAGGATAGAAAACAATATGAAGGTGATATTAGTGAGCTTTAGTAAATAAGTAGAATCATACTACTAGAGAGAAAGATAATATAATAATAATAACGTAATTCCCGGTCGGGCTGTACACCCGGCCGAGCTGTACACCCCATCAAAAATCACATCTTCCTACCAATATACCAACTTTAACCAGCCACTATGCCACCAATTCGCGCCCAATCGTCTCGAAATTCTGCCGGAAAAGAGGGTAGGATCTTATTAGCCGTTAAAGATATCAAAGATGGCCGTATCAACTCTCTCCGCGCAGCAGCAAAGCTATACGATATCCCCTATATAACGCTGGCTACGTGCGTCAATGGTGTACAATCACGCGTCGATATACGTCCAAATGGCCATAAACTGACACAATTAGAAGAGGATTCACTTGTTGAATGGATAATCTCTATGGATACACGTGGAGCAGCGCCTAGGCCAGCTACTGTACGAGAGATGGCTAATATACTACTAGCTGTGCGTGGTAGCTACCCTCCACCAACAGTTGGTAAAAATTGGCCATCAAGCTTTATAAATCGACGCGAAGAGATTCGATTATGCTTCTCTAGGTGTTATGACTATTAACGCGCATTAAACGAAGATCCTAAATCGCTACGAGAGTGGTTTGCGACCGTATAACGTGCTATTGACGATAACGGTATCCAAATGGAGGATATCTACAACTTCGATGAGACAGGGTTTGTAATGGGTCTTATTTTAACATAGAAAGTGGTTATGTGGGCTGGATACTATGGTCGGAGAGCTATATTACAACCAGGAAACCGCGAATGGGTTACTGCTATTGAAACTATTTGTGTAGATGGCTATTCGCTACCGCTATGTATAGTTTTTAAAGGCTAAGTTGCTATGGCTGGTTGGTTTGATAATCTACCAAAAGACTGGTGATTTGAGGTCTCAAATAATGGCTGGACTACTAATGAAATTGGCCTACGTTGGCTACAGAAACTATTCATCCTATGTACAAATTTGCGCGTATATGGCCGGTTTCGGCTATTGATTCTTGATGGCTATAGTAGTTATCTTATGGCTAAATTTGACCAAATCTGCGTAGAAAACAATATTATACCACTTTGTATGCCTGCGTATTCTTCGTATTTATTATAACTGCTTGATGTTGGATGTTTCGCAGTGTTTAAATGTGTATACGGTCGTTTTATAAGTGATCTTGCGCGTGTAGGCTATAATCATATTGATAAGTTTGATTTTCTGGATGACTACTAACGTGTAAGACTGGAAGTGTTTAAAAAGCTAATTATTATTTAAAATAGCTTTATAGCTGCTGGCCTAGTGCCTATTGATCTAGAAAGAGTGCTTTTGAAGCTTAATATCTCTCTATGAACACTAATACCCCTAGGAAGCCGACCAAGCAGCAGATCTAGCCAATTTATACCAAAAACGCCGAGAACTGTCATTCAACTACAAAAATAAGCTTCTATGATGAAAGATCTATTAAAACAACGGTCAAATAGCCCACTAAGCCTATCGAAGACTATGTTAGATCAAATTATTAAAGGTCACTATATATCGCTATACAACATAGCGTTACTCGCACAGGAAAACGCAAATTTACGTACAGCCAATGAGAAAAAACGCCAAAAACGCAATCGATCAAATAGGTAGATACCCTGTGATACTGGCCTAACGGTCGAAGAGGGCCTATAACTAGCTACGCAGCTAAATTTACTAGATGAAGCTACTCCGGTGGATTCGAATACACAGGGCAAAACGCCTATTCAGCCAGGTCAGCCAGCCAAAAGGGCTCCGCCTCGGTGTAGTGGATGTGGGAATATTGGCCATAAGATCAATCGATGTATAAATCGCGTTATTTAGCTAAATTAATATATGTTGGCCAATATATATCGATTTAAATTTTTCTAATGGGTTGGGGTGTACAGCTCGGCCGGGTGTACAGCCCGACCGGGAATTACGTTAATAATACTAATTACTAAGCTATAATAGAAGGTTGAAGAGAAAAAGGGCTTACAGCTAGAGGAGGGGTTAATACTTTATATAGACCCCCTATAAACAGGAAGCTCTACAAAGCTAAGTAAGAGACCTTAGGTTAATATAGGTGTTTATATAGCTAGAAGGAACAATTATAATACTATTCGGCAAATACTATATAACCTATAATCACAGCCTCTCCCTCTATACTATTCACTATATTATTATTAAAACTATCCGGAAAATAACCAGTAGGCTACTATTAAGCCTAAGACTATCGATTTATATACTAGAAGAATAATTTAAGAGATTCTACTACCTTAACACCCCTAGGATACTACTATTATATAACAATCCTCAATATTACTAGTATTCCCTTACACAATATATACTATACAATAAGACTATCCACTATACAGCCGGATATATTATTATATACTATTATATAAGATGCTTCATAAGTAGCCAAAAAAGCGAGTAACATAGCACTCTCAAAAAGGCAAATCATGAATATTCGTGATCCTCTATATATATAATTACACTATAGGTGTTTTATATATCGTCGCCCTACACAAACACTCAAGATCGAGACGATCTTAATTAAGTAAGGGAGGATAAGATAAATTTACCTAATTCTCCCTATATATTTCATATATTACGATCTATTACGTTTGTTTATATATAGTAATATCTATATCTATATCTATTACCATCTATCTATAGTTATCTGATCGCACGTGATTAGATATATCTATTTACTATATTTGTTTACCGGTGCATATATATTAACTGTCGTTTCCCCTAACTTAGCAATATATGCCCGTTCGCACCCAAAGATCTCAATAGTACTATTAATACTATAGTATATAAAATATTCTTTAAATAATAGTTTCTCTATTTAATCTTTAAAATCTTTAGTATTCTTACTAATACTAATAGTAATATTTCCTTCTTAAATATCTATATATATAGATATCTAGAATAATAAATAAGTTAATAAGCTTACTAAAAAGACTACTATAGAGACCTATAATACTACCTAAGACTACTATATTATTCTTAGTAAAGCTATTAAAACCTATATCTATTAGAAAATAAAGAAGATTTAGAAGAATAAATAGAAGTATAAGGTAATAAAGTAGCTAATTAAGATATCTAGTAGAAAACTGTTAAATACTAGTAAAAGAAAAGAAAAGCAATAATATCAATAATAATATAATTATATTTAGATAAAGATACTATAGCTACCTATCTAATAAGATCAATATCGAGGACTTATCTTACTATAAATATAACCTTAGGAATTAATCTATCTACTATATATTACTAGAATATAAACTTTAGATTAAAAAGTACTATAAGATAGCTCTCTAGCTCTCTAGCTCTCTAATAAAGACCTCTAGCTAATACTAGATATATTATTAGCTAATATACTAGTATCTAATATTATTATAGACTTTATCTTTATAAGTATTATCCTTCGCTAATTCTATAGGATTAATATAGAAGCTATAGAATATAAACTAGTTAATTAAAGAGCCTATAGAGATCTAACTAGCAATAGCTATAGAGTATAGTAATTATAATTAAGATAGGATAGTATAGGAATAAAGATAGAGAAGGTACCTATAGTTATAGTTCTAATTAACTATAATTCTTTAATATTATATATTAGCGTTAGTAGACTCCATATTAAGATATTAGTATATATAATAATAGACTTAATTATAAGTTTCTTATATTAGTAATATAAAGATATTAAGCATAGAGAGAGATATATATATAGTAAACTTAGTAATTTAAGACCTTAGTAATATAGAGAAGCTAATATGAAAAAGAAAAAGAAAAAAGAAAAAATAGTAAGATCTTAAGGTACAAATAGGTATATATTACTAAATTAGGGGAAACAATAGTTAATATATATACTCTAGTTAAACAAACATAGTAAACAGATAAGGTCTGATCATATATAATCAGCCATTCTAGATAGATAGCAACGGATATAGATATAGATATTACTATATATAAACAAATATAATAGATTATAATATATAAAGTATATAGGAAAAATTAAATAAAATTATCTTATCCTCCCCTACTTAATCAAAGATCATCTTAATCTTAAGTATTCATACAGAAAAGTAGTATATAAGATATCTATAGTATAATTATATATATAGAGAATCATAAATATTTATAATTTATCTTTATAAAAGCACTATATAGCTTAATTCTAACTAATCTTAAATTATCTTATATAATAACGTGAACCACGGTCGCCCGAGCGGCCCCATCAAAAATCCACTTTTAAAATAGCACTTTTTTTTCAACCACAACAAATATGCCACCCTAGTGCTCTGATCGAAAAAAAAAGCTAACCGAATAAGAGGGTTGTCTTTTATTAGCAATATAAGCTATAAAAGATAGTAAATATCCCTCTGCTACAGCCGCTGTATAGTCTTTTTAACTACTGGTCTTAATTTTGAAGGCCTAGCTTAATAAGTGTGAATCTATAATAAAAAACGGCTAAATAGGTATATATTTACTTAATTAGAAGAAGAATCTATTGAAAAATAGCTATTAGATATAGATATAAGAGGTATAGCTCTTTATTTATCTACCTAAAATATAGCTAATATTTTACTTTAAGCATAGAAAAATATATCTTCTTAGGTTAGGATTAATTAGCTTTCCTAATTTATTAAATAATATCTAAATCTCTTAACTTAATTCATATATAAATATAATTATTAAAGGGCTCTATTAGAGGACCCTAAAGTTATTAAACTATAGTTTAATTTAGTTAAATATACTATTATAAAATAGGGTATTGTTTCTAACGATATTTTTAATTTTAATAAATCTAGATTTATAATAGGAGTTAATATAACCTAAAAGATTATTACTTTAGCTAAATACTATAAAAAAAAGTTTTATTATAAGCTAGAAATTATGAACAGATTATATTAATTAAATATATTAAAGTAAATATAATTATTCTTCTACTAGTCTTTATTTTTAAAAGTATACTATTACTAGAATATCTATAATCTTATTTATATCTAAACTAGAAAGGATTATATCTTATTATAAGTTTACATAGTTAAATAATCGATAAAATTAGTTTATAGTAATTAAAAGACTATTTTATTCTAAATATTAGAAAAAGAATTAGAAAATACTATTTATTAATTCTTAATAGTTATAGAAGCTATTTAACCCTTAAATTTAATTGAATTTATAAAGAAAACGTTATTATTATAATCTATATATCTATATATTTATCTTATTTATTATAATCTCTAGATATTAGTTGTTTTATAGTCTTAAAATAGCTTTATAGAAGAGTAGTTTTAAATTTAATATAGGATAGTATTAGTACTATTAAAAAAGAAGACTTCTTTGAATTAATTATATATATAAGAAATAATACTTTTAAGACTTCTAATATTTAAGATAGCTTTTTAGCTATTAGTTTAGTCCTATTTGACCCTAATAAGGTCTTAGAAAAGCTAAATATAGAGCTAGATAGTCTTCTTACTTTTAAAATCTTTGATTAATAACTAGTATTATCTAGTAGTAATAATAACCTTAATACTTTTTGGACTCTATCAAAATTC